AGGTGACTGCGGCTCTGCGCGGGTGCGCTCCCCTTCCCGGTGTGCCGGTTACCGCGGTGCGGCTTTTCGCCTTGCGTAACACCGTATGTGAAGACTGAGGAAAAAAGCTTAAAGGTGGCCGAGTGCTACAGCTGATGCTGGGCGGTACTGCCGTGCACGGGAAAAAATGTCCCCTGTGAGTCAGCCTGGGGGAGTAGGAAGCCAGGCTGATGCCGAAGGGAGCAGAGTGACCAGAGCCGTGTCTGCAGGGACGGCAGCTGGAAATGATGCTGCTGTCCTTCAGGGACAGTGCTCTGTTGCTGCTGCGCCAGCCCTCCTCCAGCTTTCTCACTTGTGCTCTTCATGGTAGTGTTCAGCAGCGCTGAGTTGTTCAGAGACATTGATTAAATTTGTGTCTTTTTCCTGGAAAAAATGTGTGGTGTTTACTTATTTTTCTTTCCTCTGCCAGGGTGAGACCACGGATTTTGAGCTATTAAAGCGTCAGCTGTCAGATCCAGACATAAAGGTAAGAGTCTTAGTAGTTAGGAGGGCTGGTGGTTTAGACTTTGGCTGAGTGCAGTCGTCAGGCAAAGTCATTCTGGTCCTTACCCAGATCCTTTGCTTTAAACGTTCAGCTGCATTTAACAGCTTTTTGCTTAGTGGAAACTATCAGAATTAAAATTCTAAATTAAAAAGAAGCATTTTTCTGTTTCTGCACTTACATATTTTATATGCAAGATCTTGATAAATTATGTCTCATGCTTAAGAACCCCTTGCTCTAGAGTGAGGAACTTTTTGCTTTGTGACAGGGTCTGTCTTTGTTCCAGATGCTGTCTTTCTAGGTCACTGATGCTGGTCTTTACAGATTCCTTGTGTAAATCAAACCATGGTTTCTGACTTTCACAGTCCTTCAATTGAATGAATTTTTACCTGCTGTTGTCACTAAGAGCTTGTTTACTTAAGCAGTAACATACATATGCATTTAGCAGTTATACCCAGAAGTACAGTTTCACAGCCCTTCTGTGTAGCTGTGAGTACCAACCACATTTGCTGTTTGTCTTTCTTTTTTTTTTAAATAAAACCACAAAGCTGTGAGAAGAATGCTGCCGAAAGCATAGCGCTATATCGAGTTCCCTTTCTGTTTAAAGAGGGTATATTGTAAAATGCTTCTTAGCGTGCCTTTTGGAGTGCACAGGCAAAATCAGTATATGATTTTCTGTGTAGGTTTGCAACTGTTTCAGTATTTCTCATTTCAAGACTTGAGTGACCCTTCTGCTTAAACTAGAGTAAAAAGAAAGTTAAGATTGAATGTAGTATCTTTTAAATGTGTTCTGTGTGACTGAGGTTTGCATGCCTTGCTCAGTCTGTAACTTAAGCCTCCCAGGAGGGCTGTTGGTTCAGGAGCTGGTATGTATTTATTCTTGCGTTCAAGAGCTTTCATTGGTGAGGAGACAAACTTAAAGAAATTCCTTGCATGTTAATGTGAAAATAATTTCTACTTACAGTCTTAATCTTTGACTTCTTATTTGAAGGATTTTGTTGTTTTCTAGTAATAGATACTGTTTATTCAAATAGTTACCTATTTTTCTGCTTGTTTTCAGGATGCCCAGATCATTAATTGGCTGCATGAATTTCGAGCTGCTGTTGCGTATTTGACCAAAGAGCTTGAACAACTGGTCAGCATTTTGCTGGTAAATATCCGCTTGTTATGCGGTAAGATGAGGAGTTTAGTACTCAAGGCATCCTTCTTTGACATCTTGGTCTTTGCTTATTTTCAGAAGCTGCCATGGTTGAGAAGAAGCCGAGAGGTAGTGGAAGAATATCTGGGTTTTCTTGGCAATCTCGTGTCAGCACAAACTGTCCATCTTAGGCCATGCCTCCGGATGATTGTATCGCACTTTGTCCCCCGTAAGTTACTTTTCTCTTTATCTTCTTCGTTTGCTTATCAAAATGTCCTTCCTAGATAAATTCTGTATAAATGTGTGGCCCAATTAATTATTGTTTGGTTCTGTTGTGTTTTCTATTTTGTCTTGTTGATTACTTTCTTAATGGCTGATGCAGGTAGTTTTCTGTACCTGGATTTTAGAAGGCACATTCTAGTGGCCAGACCCCATTTACAAAGATGTTTTGGAAAGGGATGAACTATATAATGTTATAACTAAAAAAACAAAGCTGCAGTGAGGATCATGTTGAGCCTTCTTGTTCTGAGAATGAAACAGTCTTCTTGATGAGCTTCTGCTTATTTTAAAAAGTCTTGGGGATAATTTTGATGCTTTAGTCCTGATGAAGACTGTTGGTCCACTGTGTTTGATTGGGCATTGAAACTTACCTGTCAGGTTTGTACAATTTTAATACAGTACTTGCACTTTTTGCTAGCTCGAGTAACCATCAGAGAAGATGATGTGGATATTTCAGATTCTGATGATGATGACGAAAGTAAGTATAAAAGAAGCGTGGCTTATATATGCTGCTGTAATACATTTACTAAAGAAATACACAGTAGGTGCTGCTCCTTTTTTACTAAATTAGGTTAGCTGAGTTAATGTAAAACATTAAGAGCCAGTATGTCCTTGAATTACCAAGTCAAAGGCTTTTTTGTACTCAAATCGGTGGTGTGGTGACCCACTCCTTGTTACTTTCAAAATATTCCTGTTGGTGCAGTATTCCTAGAGTAGGAATAAGGCTGCATAGGAAAACATTTCTAGTCCTAGATTGTTTCAAAGCCGAAGAAAAGTTCGGAGTTGTTTATTTTCCATTTTACTGACTTCAATAAAACTAGGTAGTTTGAGGTTTTCTTGAGTCTTTTTGTTGTTGTCTGCCTGTGGTAAGCTCAAATACAATTGATCTTTATAATAAAAATGCTGTATAATTAGTGTGTTTATTGATAAGGCAAACAGATAGCTAAATGTCTTTCAAGAATTTAATGTTTTCTTATCTTGAATGCCAGAATAAGTTTCAGTTCTGCTTGTGATGACCCAGCTACTCTTCTGCTGTTCTCTTGTGACACTGTTTATATAAAAAAAGCTGAATTAGCTGTTTGTTTTACTCTTGTGAAAATGAGGCATAATCTTTAAACAGAGTCTTCTGAATATTTGGGTATTATGTGGTAAGTTTTGGATTTCCAAGTTTAGCATTCAGTATGAAAGCATATAACAACAGTACCTGGCCGTGGGGCTGGCAGCACAGTCAGAGTTTGTTTGTGATGCCATCAGTTTTATTTGGATGATCTTCATTTGATGATGTTAAAGGTCTTTTCCAGCTGGAACCATTCTGTGATTCCATGGAATTATTTTTCACTCTTATTTTTATAGTAAGGCAGTTCAAATTTTAAAAAAAACAAAACCAAAACCAAACCAACCAAAAAGCCCTCCCCCCGAAAAATGCAATTTCCTAGGGGATCTGTAATTTTTTTTATTTATATGAACTGTTTTTGCTTGGTTTCTGAGTTAGTTTTCTGTAACCAAATGCATAAAAGTACTTTTTTCTTCCTCTAGATGTTTCTGAAAACTTTAATACATGCCATAGAGCATTGCAAACTGTTGCACGATACGTTCCTTCGTAAGTACATAATCCATGGTTTTGTGTGCCCTTTCCTTGCTGATCTGAAGCTTGTGAACTGATGATTTTTTTTTCTTTCCTCTTAGTTGGAAGTACACTTAGGTTCATTGCATGATTTTTCCTAATATTTGCTAACTGGTGGAAGGCTGTATCCAATCACTATGAAATTTCCATAGGCATCCACATCTGAAAAGCCTGTTAGTGGAAGTAG